CCACGCACCTGAGGATGTCATTAAGAGGTTGCATCGTGTGGGTGAGCATGCTATCCCTGCCTTCTAATAGCACATATAAGATTTTATGTCCTATATGTTTTCAGCATCCTCACTCCTACACCGCTTGCCTCATCTGCTAGATAACACTGAATCCCTGACAGCCATCACTAGGCTATTGCTAAAGGACTGGGTCGTCTCCTTCAGAGAGAGTCTGATAACGTGGCGTGGCAGCGCAGAAAAAGGGTAGATTTCAGCACTGCTTTTCTCCTCCACAGTGACTGATTTAGACTAATCATTTCCAAGTGAACATATCCAGCAGCTGGGCAGGTTCTGATGGTCTGGTTTTCACACTGCTCTGCCTTGCATGAGGCATGTTTTGATGAGCGGGGGGTGGGATGAATGAATGAAACTATCATCCCCAGAACACTGCCTTGCAGCGCCTCACGCCAGTGCTTTTGAGACGCCGGAGCTGTATGCTGGGTGTTTTACCAAATGCTGACTAATGCACAGCAGTGAATCACACACAGACTTCTCGTTCTTCCTGTTAGAATTATTGTAAGCAATAATATGAATGACCTGGAATAAAACTAATGTTAATGGAAGATAGTATAGCTAGGTATTAGGGGACGCTAATAACCAAAGCTTAACCACTGGATTCACTGTTTCCAAGTTTACCTCCAATGCATGATGGCAAGTGGTGTACTAAGACCTTTCCTTTAAGGAAGACAAACAAAGAAAAAGAAGGTCGTAAAAATCAATGCCTAAATTTAATGGTGGCTCATTTAAATTAAAATGCAAGGTTTATCCGTTTGCTATAGAGATGGAATTAATGATAACAAATGACGACAGACAACAGAGGAAGTTTGGTAAACAGATTTTCATGAATAATATCTACTGAACTGGATAAAATAAGGGAGCAGAAATGCAGTTTAGGGGACCCTTGATATCACCAGAAACTCCTCCAGAAGAAAGTATTCCAGCTTGGGTAACTCAGATAAGTATTGACAACAATCATTTGTTATTTCTGTCTCCCTAGGCTAGCACAGAAGAATAAATGGATTATTATCCATTCCAACCATGTGGATATTGTTAACAGTATCTAGCTTAGCTTTGCTTTGGTTATTTCTGTGGGTGTATTTTTTTTTTTGTATGTGCATGTGTGAAAAGGGTAAGAGAGACCAATTTAGATTAATTGCTATGGCTGAAGTTCAAGAGAAGACAAAAACGTAAACCAACTGAAGTAATAACATCAAATGGATGTTTCTCCTGTAAGGATGGCTTTATTATTAATACCTCTATTAACAGCGATCAGGATAATAGATCACCAGTATTCCTTTTCTTGGCACTCCTTTCTCTTCTGCTACTCTGGTCCCTCCAAACAGTTTCTGTTTCCAGTATTATAAGAACGATAGGCTCTAAGTCCTTCCAGCGGCTTCCTTGAAGTAAGCAGGTTCAAGTATTGTTTGTACTTTCAGGGCAAAGGTCCTTCACCACTGATGTTTTATGTGGTTGTTATATTCTGGATTTTGCTCTCGCAAGTTATATCCTTGTTCCAGTACCGAGCTACAAAAATAGCTTTGCTATAGCAGAGAGTTGGGGTTACGCATACACTAGCAGCGACATGGTACTACACGGTAATACCACAGCCCACAACACGCATAGCACAGTACTTGGACAAAACAGTCCTAGGACACCAGCCGTATTGCTGAAAGAGAGTTTCCATTAAAAACTGCTAAATGCCACTTCTGATTTGTGCCATGATGCGCCTGAGCCCAGTTCTGATTGGATGTGCAGAGCAGCAAGCTCCTTTTGGTAAAGCAAAGTTTTCAACTTCAAAGTGTATTCCTTTTTGTGAAGACCATTGTCTACTGCCTATGCTTTTTCCAGACTTCAAAAGACGGTTCTCGGATCAGACGACTTCCTTGCAATGATTGATGCCTTGCTGCTATTTTCCCAAGACAGGAACACTGTAGTTGTACATCTTTACAGTTTACTAGTCATCTCCTCAGGAACAAAAATCCCTTTGTCATCAACTCGATGAGTGAGTATATACATCCTGTGCATACAGTGCTTTGGGGTGCCCATAGTCAAGGGACCTCTGGCTTCCACTGTGTGTAATTTTTCTGCTCTTCCTCGAGCAAGGACGCACGCAGGTGCAGTCCTCCTGGTCCCAGCTTTGAAAAGCTCCACCTAATGGGTGCAGTTTGTCCAAGTACAGTGTGCTGTGGAAAGCTTTTGTAGACTTAAGTGATTTACCTGGGCTTCTCATAGCTCTCCAAACGTGTCTTTTGTAAGTGCGCAAAGTTGCATCTGCCTGTATAAGTCTAATTTTCTGTGTTACATAGAGCTGCTGCTTTGTACGTTGATGATCTGTTAATCGTGACAGAGAATAGCAAGAGGGACATCTATCCTTAGTGAGAGAAACAGGGTTTCTCCTCTTTGGAGGTGGAGGCAGCTTTACATTAGATCCATTTCTTGCTTCTGCTCTCTTGGTTTGTGTCCATTTTGCTGTTCTCAAAGTTCAGTCACCCAGTTCAACTTAAAAGGGAGTATAATACCTTTCCCCTTTATGTGTGTATATATATATATATATACACACATACGTGTGTACATGTGAATGATAACAAAATGAACCAAACAACGAAAGGAAAGCTAAGCAATGCATAGTCAACTGTATCGACAGGGCTGGAGCGCATGGCATCGTCTTCTGTGCTGCCGCGGCGGACGGAAATAACAAGTAAAAGAGGGTGGTGCCGCCGCGCGCTGGGACCGCACGGGGCAGCCTCTGCCTGGAGCGCGTATTTGACCTTCCCTCGGTTTTGATCTCGCCTTCAGGCCCCAAGGGCTCGGCTGGTGCCCGGGCCGTCGCCCTCGTGGGCGCAGACACCCCGGAGCTGTGGACAGCGGGAGGTGAGCGGAGCCGCGCTGTGGCCGGGGCTGGGCTTCCCGATCTGCAGCAAGCGCGGACGAGGGGAAGGGGAGAGGAGGAGGCGCTGAGGGAGCGGGGGGCAGCTATTGCCTCTCAAACTGCCCTACAGACGCTTTCAACCCTCGGTTCTCCATCTTTGACTCCCTAGAAGAGCGATAACACTTAATTAGCTTCCCTCTGCTTCAAACCTATCACCTTTTGGAAGCTTCTCCTAGATACCTTCTACCCTTGGACGGCTGCCTCAAAGAAAATGCCTGAAAGGTACAACTGCATCGCTAGGTTAGCGGCTTCTGCTCTGCCGGGCGCCCTTCTTTGGGGGTTACCCTGCACGATGAGCCCAACCATTAGGCTACCGCAGCTTCAGAGCCCTTTTCCAAAGCTGTAGCTGCCATCGATGGAACCACCTCTCTGCATGTGACTGGAGGCTACGTTACTCCTGATGCCTAAACAGCTTCCTTGAGGTTAGTTGCTCAGGCGCTGTCGTGGTTCGCGTTGGTTTCTTTGCTTTCATTAACCTCGCGTGCGCTCCGTACGTGGGCATCTCTAGTCCTTCCCGCTCTTACAGCAGTTTTGGTAACTAAAGACGGTAATTAATAGCGCCCATCGTCCCACGGGCCGAGGCAACGCACTTCTCCTTCCCCGAGGACCTGCCTCAAGGCCGGGCTGTCCCCTGCAGCGCCACTGGGGCTCCCGGAGCCGCTCCGTGCCTCTCCCTCACC